CCATTTCCTGCATGCGTCCGCACGCTCGTGAGCAGTGGTGATCAGGCAAGGGAGTGGGCGGTGGATGGGGCAGGCCTGGACGATCGGCGCATCGCGTCGGGCGTTGGTAAGGCAGTGGCGGCGAACAGAGAACGCGGTGGGTTCGCGTGCTATAGTGGTGAAGAACGCGCGAGCGAGTGGCTGGTCGTCGTGTAAGGCAAGAACAGATGGGCGATCCGCGAGGCGCGGGGACGATGCATCGCGTGCATTCTTGCGAGGGCTTCGAGGTCGCAGAGCGCGCTAAGTTGGTCGAACGAGGGGGGAAAACACGTGAAAAGTAAGTGTATGCGCCCTGGGGCGACGCGCAATACCGGGCGACCGCGACTCACCTACAGCACCGATCCAATGCCATCCCTCCATCCCTCCCTCCTCCTGTAGTACCGCCGCAGCCGAGTCGCCATCTGTTGCAAGCGTTCGCACGCTCGAGAGCCGTGGTAATCGGTCAAGGAGTGAGCGGCGCATGGCGTCGGCGTTGGGAAGGTGGTGGTTGCGAACGAAAAACGCGGCGGGTTCGGACGCCGTACTGGTGAAGCGCGCGCGAGTGGGCGGCTGGTCGTTATGAAAAGCGAGAAATGCCCCGCGCACGATGCCTCGCATAGACTCGTTCACGCATTTGCGAGGTCAGCAGCGCGCGCAGGGGTAGCCGAACGAGGGGGGAGATGTCTGGAAGGTCAGTATATGCGCCCTGGGGCGACGCGCAATACCGGGCGATTGCGACTCACCTGCGAGAAGAGACGGGCGACCGGCGGAGCGTGATGCGGCACGGCACGTCCTCGAGCATCGGCGGCGCGTTTGCACCGCGTGGTGGTGAAGGAGACGCGAGGGGGTGAGTGGCCATAAGGCGAGAGCAGACGGGCAACCGGCAGAGCGTGAGGCAGGGTGAGCTGCGCAAGCCGTCCGTGTGTGCTTTCGCTCGTCGTGGATGAATCCGGACAGCGGGGTGCCATGCGCGGCGAGCTGAAGTGAGTGAATGCGCCGCGGTGCGGCGCGCGATACAGACCGACGGCGACTCATCTGGTGTGTGCAAACGACCCCGCCTACGTCCGCTCTCGCCCACCTATGCGCTCCGTGAGATCCCCACCTCGCCCTCCTGCTGCGGCGCCGCTGGCGACGGTGGGCCGGCCTTGTAGACGTGAGCGCGTTCGTGATGCTACGTTGACAGCGATGATAGCGTGGCCGTACGCGGTGGAGTCGTCTCGTTGGGTGCGGGGAATGTGGTAGCGGCGAACGAA